ATGTTAAAAAGTTTAACGGTTAACTATGAGGCAAATTTTTCAATTACTGTTACACAAACAAATTTAATTATAAAATTATATCGCATTTTAATCAACCAATCACATTAAAAATCCTTGAACCGGGTTTTTTGAGCATAAGCATAAGGCATTAACCATGATGCAATAAATGATAATAATGTTGTATAATAATGTTGCCATACTTATATTTCAATAAGCGCGTCATTAAGACGCGTGAATTCAACCGAATTCTAAAGTTTCAACATATTCAAATTTGTCCATACTCTTTTAAACAAACAAATTTGAATATAGATTTACCTGTTATAGAAAGTAAATGGAGAGAAAGATGGAGACAATTAAAAAATAGCTCTAAAAATGAAGAAAATAAAAAAAAATTTTATATATTGGCCATGTTTCCATATCCGAGTGGCATGTTACATATGGGACATGTGAGAGTATACACTATTAGTGATACCATTGCAAGGTTTAGAAAAATGTTAGGTTACGAGGTATTAAAATATCAAATAAATTTTTCCTTTATTAATAGATACTGATTTAATTATGTATTATTAAGGTAATCCATCCGATGGGTTGGGATGCTTTCGGACTTCCGGCTGAAAATGCCGCAATTGAACGTAATATTCATCCGGCTGATTGGACTGTGGCGAACATTAAAGCCATGAAGATGCAAATGGAAAAAATTTTGGCAGATTTTGATTGGGATAGGGTTGGAATTTAAATTATAAGAAAATTATACATGACTTAACATTGATTTCACAATAAGATGTAATTAAGAAATCAATTCTAGGAATTGACTACATGCAACTCGGATTATTACAAGTGGACTCAATTTCTTTTCCTTAAATTATACAAAAATGGTTTGGCGTATCAAAAAGAAGCCGTCGTAAATTGGGATCCAATTGAACAAACCGTGTTGGCTAATGAACAGGTTTTACAAGTGAAGAAATAATTACAATATTGAAATGTAATAAATGTTGATGTTAATTATAAATCTTGTTAGGTAGATGGTGAGGGGCGTTCTTGGCGTTCGGGTGCCAAAGTAGAAAATCGAAAGTTAAAACAATGGTTCTTTAAAATCACGGATTTTGCTGAGGTAAAAATTATTCGATAAATTGATAATAAATCATGTTATATTCTTATTATTGTATTTTCGATTTTCGATACCTAGCCATTATTAAAAGGTCTTGATAAGCTGGATAAATGGCCAGATCGTGTCAAGCAAATGCAACGTCATTGGATCGGTAAATCTGAAGGTGCCGAGTTTGATTTTGTTGTGGTATGTGTTGTGAAGTTTTAAGAATTCTTATCGAATATATTGATTTATTTATATTTTCAATTGATTTTCTATAAAGAATTTGAACACAAACGACAAATTCCCTATAAAAGTGTTTACTAGTAGACCAGACACCATTTTTGGTGTGCATTATCTTGCAATATCTATAGACCATGTTTTAGTGTCAAAAGAGTATATAAATATATAAATATAAGATTTAAAAAAGTTTCTCGCTTTTCATCTTAATGAAACTTTTTAAACAGAAAATTTTATTGTCCTTAGTTTTCTATCACCGGATATTTATTTGGAAGTGTTGAAACTTGCAGAGAAAATGAGACAAGATTTAATTGAAGCCAATGAAAAAAAATCACATCAAGGTATGTATTATTTGAATACAATGATTAGATGTTATTTTTTCTCAATATTAAACGCGATTAATCATTAGGAGTTAAAACCGATATTTACGCGACCCACCCGATTACTGGAGAATTAATTCCTATTTACGTAGCTTCATATGTTGTTTCTGATTATGGGACCGGAGCTATAATGGGAGTACCTGCACATGATGAACGAGATTGGAATTTCACCAAATTAAATCATATCGTTGACAAGAAAGATATTAAAAAAGTTGTAAAACCTATATTTTATAAAGATGGTATTATTCTATAAATATGAATTTGACAAGTTTCTTTCGTCTGTGTTTACTCACATTCCTTGTTATCTAAGGTACGGATCTCATTGAAGACGGTGAAGTATATACAACGTATGGAATCTTAACGTCTAGTTGCGGAAAATATGCTGGAATGAAAAGCGAAGATGCGATGAAGAGGATTGTTGATGACGCTGAAACAGCAGGTTATGGCCGTTCGGCGGTTCAGGTAATATAAATACATTAATACTATATCTGTCAATAAATTTATAACATCTTTTCAACCTTGTAGTATCGACTTAGAGATTGGTTAATATCAAGGCAACGGTACTGGGGTGCTCCAATTCCTGTGATACATTGTCCAGAATGTGATGTAAGCTTGTCTCCATTAATAATGTTAAATTTATGAAACAAATTTAACATAAAAGGAATAACATTAACCTTTAGGTTGTACCCGTTCCCGAGAGTGAGCTGCCTGTTATGCTACCAACCGATATTTCTCTTATCGGTCGTGGTGGTTCTCCCTTGAAATACGTTGAGGATTGGTTAAATACTAAATGTCCAAAGTAATTCTATTTATTAAATTTTAAAAAGGTTTAAACAATGGATCTATTGAAAATTATCATAATGTATTTATATTATATTCAAGATGTCAAGGACCCGCAAAAAGAGATACAGATACTATGGATACATTTGTTGACTCATCTTGGTATTTTATGCGATATACCGATTCCAATAATACTTCATTGTAAGTAAATTCCTTTCCATCAAATTTTTTCGATTCCTCAATTAGTGTAATATTTTATTTAAATGTAACTTTATAGACCATTTTCATACGATAAAGCATCCAAATATCTACCTGTTGACGTATATGTTGGTGGCGCGGAACATGCAATTTTACATTTATTATATTCAAGATTTTTTGTAAAATTTTTATATAAACAAGGTATGTATTCACCTATCCACGAAAACATCCAAGAACGAGATGAACCATTTAAACAATTAGTGACACAGGTATGAGTTTTTATAAATTTTATCGTAACCTTTAATCCCAATTAATAGATCAAATATATATTCTCAAATATTTAAGGGAATGGTTCATGCTAAAACCTTTAAGGATCCGTTAACCGGAAGATTTTTAAAACCCGAGGAACTTGATTTATCAAGTAAGGATTTATATTAATTCAATATAGCTTAATCTTTAAAAAAAAGAAAAAAAAATTGTGGGGAGACGTTAATAAGTATTATTTTTTCATTAGAACTTAATGAACCTGTACAAAAATCAACCGGACTTACACCTATAGTATCATTCGAGAAAATGTCTAAAAGTAAACATAACGGAATTGACCCAGAAGTAAGAGAATCAATTAATTGATTTTAAATTTTTTTTTTTACATCATATTAATGATAGATACAATTATTTTAATTAGGCAACTATTGAAAGATATGGCGCAGATGCTACGCGCTTACATATGCTTTTTAAAGCTCCAGTATCTGAAATTCTTGAATGGGAAGATTCAAGTATTATTGGTATGCAAAGATGGATTTTACGAGTTTGGAAATTAGTAGGCAACCTTGCTAATCATCATCAAAGTAATGATCGACTCAAATTGGATATGAGTATAATGAACGATGATGAAAAAGAAACATATCGAGTAATAAACTTTACAATAAAAGAGGTTTGTTCGCATTTAATCTATAATCAAAGCTACTATAATTTTCTATAACTAAAAATTTTCTCATTTTTAGATGACGACAATATTTAGTGAAACGTTTTCATTCAATACAGCAGTATCTTCTTTGATTAAATTAACCAATCATCTTACAAGTGTTTCTCCAATTATGAATAAGTCTGACCGAAATGAAAATTCGATTATTTCACCCGTGTATATATATGGCGTCAAATCTTTAGTTAAAATGATAGCGCCAATGGCACCAAGTATAGGAGAAGAATTTTGGGAGGTTTTGATTAAAGACAGAGAAAGTCGAACAGTCTTTGAGGAACCTTGGCCGAAAGTCGACAATAAAGGATTAAGTGTTGAAGAAGTTACCTGTGTCGTTCAGGTTAAAAGTCATATATTTAAATTTCATTAAATATCAATCAATATAAATTATTAAATAACTATTCTTTTCTTTTTTATAGGTTAATGGCAAACGGAGATTTTCCCTTCAAATTCCTTCATCAATTCTACAAGACAGTTTGGCGGTCGAAATGTTAATTCGTAAATCTGATAGTGGTCAGAATTGGATTGAAAGTAATAAATTTTGTAAAAAGGTCAAACGTGTAATCCACGCTAATGGTGGGAAGATTGTTAATTTTGTTCTCGAAAAATAATATTATTTAAGTTAGAATTTTCGGTTCATTTACGGTTCTCGTTTTATAATGAAATTATTTTTTTTTTATATATATATAAATATGTATATAATGTAAACATAAAATTTATCAAAATATCGTCATTACAGCAGTATTGTCTAACCATTTATACTTAATCTCTACCATAATATCAATTAAATAAAGCTTTTCTATTATTAAGCAAACGTGAAAATAAATATTTAATCAACAATTAATTAAAAACGATTACACAACTGTTTTTAGTAAGTCAACCAATATAATACTCACGAAATAAATAATAATTCGAATAAATCGAATAAAAAGTTAAGCTTCTACAAATAATGACAATTACGATTAAAGCCATTAACGTTAATTGAATAAACTTCTTTAATATGCAGTTTATCTTAATCAAACACTCACTCAAAAGATACGCATAATCATGTAAACTACATCAATGTTATTAAATGTAAACTACTATATATTATATACTGTAATTAACACCTACTTTAAATTCTGCCACTCAATTCTCGTTCCAAATCTTCGCTCATCACAATTCCAGATGGTTGATAATGTCCAGTAACAAGTGAATCCGGATCTCCTCGAACTGCCGTAGGAGAATTAAGAATAGTATCTCTATCTGGAATTCTTGCTAAACTTGAAGAAGTCGTTGATTTAGCCCCAGTTGCAACATTTAATTGTGGTAATTGATGTCGTCTAACATTTGTACGGAAGTTTGAAACTTCTTGTGCAATTTTGGCTTATCATTAAAAAAAAAAATAATAATAATTAATACAAGTTACTGATACTTGTTATTTTGAGTAAAAAAAAAAGATAATTTGATGAAAAGTAATACTACCTTTCATCTGAACAGGATCGTCTATTGTTTCAAAAGAGAAATCAAATTCAGGGCATACCGGCTACATTATTATTATTATTTATTATTTTATTTTTTAAAAAAAAACCAAATTTCAATCGGCATCAGATGAGACATGAGGCAAACCTCGTCATTTGGATCATGCCATACTGCTAAATATGGGTGTTCTAAAGATTCTTCGACAGTTATGCGTTGAGCAGGGTCAAAAGTTAATAGACGTTCTATTAGATCAAGTGCTATAATAAAATCCAATAAAACGAAAGGTTAAAAATTTTCATTTTATATTAAAAAATAAATAAACAAACTTATATCTTGCGATCATCAAGAAATACCTAAAGGATTTGCGTTCGGAAATAATTGTTGAAAAGGTCTTTTATGCATAAACGGTAAATTGCGTATATACTCTTGTGCCTACAATACATAAACGCATTTTAATTGAAATAGATATCATAAGATAATAAAAAGGAATCTTACTCTAGGACTTCCTATTCTTGTTAAAGTGGCATCATTAGGTGTTCCCAAGGTTTGTAAGATTTGGTTTAATTGATCAACATCTATGAGAGAAATTAAACAATATGGCTAAGGATATTTAATTTTGGAATTTTAAAAACTTTCTTAAACTAAAGATCAAGATACAATCTCGTCCTTTAAATAACGTTCGACCGCTCAATAATTCTGCAAGGATGCAACCGACGGACCACAAATCAACTTTTTTAAAAAAAAAATAATAATAATAATTTTATAAATTTAACTCATTACTAACTTTACTAAAAAATAATCATAAATAACATACTGGCTTTTGTGTAACTTTGAAAACTTAGCATGATTTCTGGGGCCCTATACCACCTTGTGGCAACATATTCAGTCATAAACCCAGAATTTGCTGCGGGGTCTTCTGAAAATCCGCGAGCAAGTCCAAAGTCACAAATTTTAAGCTCACAATCCGCATTAACGAGAAGATTACCTAATATGAAAAATTAAATCAAATTCATAAAACAGTTCATAAACAATCTATACAATTTATGTGAATTTGAAATTGCACTAACCAGGCTTCAAATCACGATGCAATACATTAGCCGAGTGAATATATTTCAGTCCGCTTAATATCTGATATGTGAAACTCTGATAATGCGCGTCTGTAAGAGGTTGACCCGAACGGATAATTGCGTAAAGATCAGCTTCCATCAATTCTTCATAAAGATATCTTTTAAACAAATTATAATTAAATTAATATGAAAAATATACATATAGCCATATAACACTTAAAAGAAAGTTTTACATTTCGTTGTAATCATGAGGATTAACGATATCCATGTCAAAAAGGCATGTGATCTGTCGATATTTGAAAAGTGTTAACAAAGAAATGAATGTAGAATGACGTCAATTACATACGCGTTATGTCAAAATATTTATTGTTACATTTTTGTGTCCTCTAAAATGCTGCAACAATTTCACCTCTCGCAATGCGCGTTTGGTAAGGATTGTTTTGTTAAAAACATTCGTAACCTTTTTGATGGCCACTCCTTCTCCAGTTTGTGTGTTACGCGCAGCACTAAAAAAATAATAATCGATATTTAAACAAATATATCAATGTAAAGAAAGAATTTTTTTTTAAAAAAGCTCATTAATTAAATTCATAATTAATTTTTTTTATCCAAGTAAATAAATTTAATGAGTTATAAATGTATATAAGGGTAATTGAGGTAATAGAATGCTAAACATTGTGCATAAAGGTGCACCACAAAACCAAAAACTTTACCACACAACGCCATAAGCGCCCTGTCCTAATTCTCGTAAAAATACGTATTTTTCGTCAACAAAAAATTGCTGGTTAAGAACGGGAAAAGAATGTCTTCCCATGATTAAATTTAATTCTTGTCAACTTTGTGATTGATAATATTTTCCATCGAAACAATAATATACGAGTGAAATCAGTTGTGTAATTGCAATCGTCGTACAGTAACAGTAACTGATTAACAATTAACAATGATTGTACTACTTTATTCGGAATGGTCCAAAAAACCAAATTTTTACAAGATTCAGCAAACTTTGTTTTCATGATTTCACAATGCTTTCTGAAACAACAAAAAATTGGCTCAAGTCAAAGCTACAATTTATTAGGAAAAATACTCACTTTCAGTTTTCTGACGATGTATTGATTTCAATATTAGTTTGTCTCATATCTGGTGAAAAACATTTGATACTGTCATGCGAACCGGAAAATATGGAAGAACTCAGATCTATGACCGAACAAGTAAAGAACATATTTTTATTACTATTATTATTATATGTTATTGAAAAATTTCTGGGAAAGGGGATGTCATTAAAAATTTTCCTAATTGCCCAATTGCAATAGATACAAAATTAATGAACTTAAAAAAAAAAAAATTTTTTTTCTTTATCATTTGTTTCTTTTGAAAATAAGATCGAGGTTCAAACTTTGAAAATTTTTTGTTTAAGGAGGATATCGAAATGGATTACGATTATTGAATATCGAAAATCATATCCTCCCTATTATATCGGAATTTTTTTTTAGATTATTATTACTTAGATTTCGAATATCACCGGTGTTTGAAATTCAAAATAAAAAATTTATACGGCATTAAATGGCATTATAATTTTAAAAATTTTAAATGTACGGAAATTATTGAATTTCAAACATTGCTCAGCACACACCCCAACCCATCTTAGGCTTCAATTATTAATTTTATTAATTTTATTCATATTGTTTTAGGTATTGCATCATGTTTTTAATATGACTACTTCTACAGTTATTTGTGATGCTTCTCAGACACCGGCTGAATTTACTAATAATCTTTTTAGTCGACAAAGGGAAGATATTTTTCACATATCGAACATCCTTAATAATGTACAATCTTATCCTGTTTGCGCAGAAGAAACAATACTTCGATTTAAATCTCAACATTCATTGAGATCTTTACGTACAATCAGTTCAACAAAATCAAATGATAAAAGACCAATGCATGAATTTCAAGGATTAAACCGTCGGTCTAATTTGTCACATAGTTCAAACCTAATATCAAATCAGAGAGATAACATAGCTGTCGATTCAAATTTGAATGATGAACCGTTGTCACTTTATGGAAGTAGTTACGAAGGAGTAAGATCCTTATCGATTGAAAATGATGAAATTGGCTTGCTAAAGGTTGAGTCATTCAAGGATTTTAAAATTCCTTTTTGGTAGAATCTTTATCTTCTATTTTCTTATATGAACTTTTTACCGAACTAGTCAAAAGAAAGATTACGGACATTTGATAATCCAAGAGAGTCAACTTTTTCATTGCCTAGATCATCAAGTCTTCATATACGTAAGAGGAATACAAATCTATCATCTACTCCAGCTCAGCTTATTGACATTTCCGAGAAGTCTTCGACATCATCGCGACCAAATCTTAGCATATATACTGGTTCACCTCGCAAGAATATTCATTCTTCTTTTAATCCCCCTTCACAGTCTCCGATAACATCAAATGATTACACTTTTTCTAAAAAAAAGCTCGAAAGTTTAAGTACTAGTGGTTTTGAACCACCTTCACCATATATTTCTAGCTCGCGATCTTTGGCAAAGGCTGTGATTATTGAAAATTTATTAGATGCAGATGAAATTATTTATGCATTTTTGTTAGAGGTATTTTTATTTTTGTTTTTTTCTTCGAGAATTTCGTTATTATCTTGCCTTTTCTGATGTCAAATTCTTGACTAGATTTTGATACGAAGACAAGTGATTGATAGATCTACTGTTTATAACTTACCAAAGTCTTTTCTTGTTATTGTCTTATTACCAATAACTTCCATGAAATATAATTTACCCAATCAACTGGTAGATTTACTTTAATGAACTTTTCTCGTTTCTTAAATTTGAGAACCTCTATCATTTGATTTTTTAATTGTCAATTTCAAATTTTTTTAAAAAAAGCTTGACAGATTTTTTATTAGTTATACTTATGAGGGAGTAGGGGCTGGGAAATCGCCAATAAATCCAGCTAAAAAAGGTCCGCTAATAAAACCTGCGGTATGGTTCTTCAAAAAATATGATGAGATTTTTTTTTTTTTTTTTGGTAGTATTATATTAAATTGTCACTTTTTTTTATTTTAGGAAATTGAAGATTTATCCAAGAAAATGGATAATGTAACTATTCATAATGATATGCACAGATATATGCGGGATGTGGTTGTAGGGATACGGACACATCGTTTGGTGAAAGGTGGGTTAACAGCTCGCGCATCATCTGATCTGGTGACACTTGTCAGGTAAGACAATATGATTCTTCTCTTAAAGAATTCAATCACTTTTTAATCAAATTTGGTCATGAACCCATAGAGCTCTCGCCGCAGTTTTTCAACGTAATTATGCAACTCCCGAGTTAGTTCTTTTTGCAAGTGAAAAAATATTTTCACATAGATTAATATTGAGAGATGCCGGAGATGACAAAAGCACTATGTATGGAACTAGTTTAGTGACATTATTAAAAGCAAGGAGCCTTTCGCCAAAATTTCCAAGTCCTGGTGATGTAGTAGCAGATGTATTGCAGGCCGTTTGGCCACCAATATAATACTGAAAATCAAAAAAAAAAAAAAAAAAAAGTTTTGCAATTAATTTAATAGCACCAAATAGAAATTATAAAACTATAGTTTAATAAATATGAACTTCAAAATTGTTTATATATACTAAATCAATTAATTTAGAAAAAGTTAGTCTTACATAAAGAAAGGAATAAAAATAATAGCAAAATTTTCTGCAAAAATAATGATTTTAAAATCTATCATATAATTTTTGTGTAATTTTTGAGAGACGTCTAAGTAAAATTTGGTTAATTTAAATTAAAACCTTATTAAAAATCTGCGAAATTCGGAAAAAGATATATCAAACAAGGTCTTTCAGTAATAAGCTTATAAAAAATGGCGAAACTTTATTAAAATATTAAGCGAAACTAAAGGTTTAAACGTTAGCCAAATCCGAAATAAGTTTAGAAAATCAACCCTAGTCCATACTATATTTTTATTATTAAAGTGTAAATATTATTGAATTAAAATAAAATTACATTGTTATTTTTTGATCATTAGAATTAGAATCAAATATCAAAATGATTTTAAATTTTAAGTAATTTATATATTTTTATTAATGTTAATATAAAGTTTTAATAAGAGGTAATTAATTCAACTTAATATAAAAAATCAGATTAAGTCAGATAAAATATTATTATAAATTACAGATATATTATAAACTTAATTTATTTGACTTAAATTAACTTATTATAAAACTCTTAATAAATTATTTAAAAGAATAATAAATAAATCATTTCAATTAAAATATAAAATTTTCATTTTATAAAAATAATAGATAAATTAATAATAAAATATATATTCTAAAAAAAAAATTATACTAATAAATAATAAAAAATTATTATTTAAATATAAATTATTTTAATAAAATAATATTATTTAAAAAAATACATAAAATATTATTTTAATTAAACTTTATTTTTTTAAAAATTATTAATAAATTATTTTAATATAATAATAAATTATTGTTTAATAAAATAATAAAACTATATTTAAAAGAATAATAAAAATAATATTCTTATAAATAATAAAGTATTATTCTAAAAAATAATAATAATATTTTTCTGATAAAATAATAATAATAAAACATTATTCTAAATTATAATAATACAAGTCAAATACTAATCAATCAAATAATATCTTAATTGATAATTTTTTTTGATTAGTAATAAATAGATAGAAATTAATAAATATTATATTAGATATTTAATGATTGAAATTTATTTAATGAATTTAAGCTCTTTAGATTCATTTAACTGAAAGGAATCCAATAGTAGTAAATTTGCATTCCTAATATCTATATTAACTAAGTTATTATGTAAAATTAATTTTACTTTATATCTTTTGTGATTTATTTAAGAAATATTTAGTAGAATTCTGAAGATTACATAAATAATTCAGATCTAATTTCAAAATTTTATATATATTATTTTATTAAAGTTTTTATATAAATTATCATATAATTCAAAATTTGTAATAAATTATACAATTTTAAATTAGTATTATGCAATTTAATGTTACCAGCTAAAATTATTTTAAAATATTCAAAACTGAATTTTCATAATTTGAAACTAAAATTATTTCTGAAATCTAAAATATTTTTTATATATATTATCTTGTTCAAAATTCCAAAACTAATTTTAAAGATATATTTACTATTTAACTATCCCTTTAATGGTAAAAAATTGCAGGCAAATTTTAAACAATTTTAATTAATTTTTAACATAAATTTTTATTATTAAACCTATCGATTTTTTTTGATTTTTACTTA